ATGGCGTACGTTTCTTCATACATTTTGGCGCACCTGTAGCAAATTCGGAGCAAAGCCTTCGACCAAGGCCACGCTTTTGCGTGACCTTCGTGCTTACCCTGGCTAGGTGGGACAATCCCCCTGAAAAAAGATGAAATAAAGCATCAAACAGCACTGTATGCACACATCATATCATCACATTTTAGTGCACATGTGAGTTATGATGAGAGAGATTCGGTGATTGCCTCAGGTACGACTCGCAGTGAGCCCTTCACGCGCTCTTGCAATTCAAGAGGGGTTTGTTGGAATTCTTGTTGGTCTGACCCTATGGCCCTATGGCTTTGAAATGTAGAGCATATATTTTTACCTATATATCATTCCTTACTTAGGGCCAAGGGTCAACAGATGATCAAGCAGGGCCAAACACAATTTTGTGTTTCATTCACTTTCTTGATTCAATTCAGCCAGGTTCTTGGCACATGATGTTACAACTCAGTACTTGTCGTGCTTGCTTTTTCCGACGATCTTCCTGGTCAAGCGTTGTCTCGCTGTCTCGCCGCTTCCTTGCGAACCCTGTGTGGTTGGCAGCGCCAGACTCGCGGAGTGCATTGCTCATGCAGCTGTGAACGCCCACTTGCTCAATGCTAAGTGAGACTTAGGATCGAGTTTGCACGATTGTGTGTTTTACCTGAATTTATGCAATGCACATTTCGGCCTTGCTGCTTTTCATGAGCCTGCGGCCATGAATCGTTTGCAGCTTCCGGGAGCCTGACTCCCAAGCAATATCACAGCGATTTCGAACAGTTGCCAATGGAGCACTGTTTCCTGAGCTCGTTCAGCTAGTTCAGCACATTAAGGTCAACATAATTATACAGTTCAACTGGGTTCGGTCGTACTGAAGGTTTCGAGTTGAACACACTTGCTTATAAGCTGAGCTGGTGCAGCTGTTGGTTTGTAGAGAAGATTGTGTCGGTTGGAAGTGATACGAAGCCCCTTGGAAAGAGCTCAAGCTCAACCGACGGACTACAAAGCGGACCATCAAAATCACCACGGGATTCGTTTTGTTGTTCGCAGTTCAGATGCCTGACACACTTGCCGCTTGCTCGCCTGAGTTGGGATCAATTGACCTATGACCTTGTTGACTGCTGAACGCAATTTGTGGCTGCATCCAGAGGGTTGCTTCATGTGCTTGATTGTACTTTCTTCACAGCCAGTTCCTCAACCCAAGTTTAGAAACCAGGCCCACAAAGAGACAGAGGAAACAGACGAATCGACACAGCTTGAGACCCATCCAGCAGCCTGACCCACTTTAAGTTCCTGTGCTATCCCTTTCCAGCGCACAGCCATGGACATCGCGTTCGTATCTCCGTTGCCTGGGGATTTCGGGTCTTTTCGTCAACCTGGACCATTTGTGATGCAGAGTCGCTCCTCCGAGACTTTTTCAGACTGCTCAGGCAAATGGAGGCCTGCGAAATTTGCCATCGCCGGCATACTGTCACACCTCGGGAGGAAGACTCACAGAAGAGGATATCTTCACCAGAAGGCCCATCGACTTGCGGACTACTATGAGGTCCTTGGAGTAAGTCGAAATGCAAACGAACGGGAGATCAAATCGAGCTTTCGAAAACTCGCCCGGCAGTTCCACCCAGATATCAACAAGGAGCCAGGAGCACAGGAGAAGTTTCAAGAAATCGCTAAAGCGTACGGAGTGTTGTCAGATGCAGAAAAAAGAGACCAGTACAATCGATTTGGTGAGGGGGCAGTGCCCAGCACCAGTCCAGATTTGTCCAGCATGGATTTGAAAGACATCCTGGGCGATGTTTTCCAAGACTTTTTTCGGGGTCCTGGAATGCGAGGTCATCCCGCAAAGGGAAGCACTAAAGGTGCCAAAAAAGGGGCTGATCTACAATGCAAAATTGAAGTTCCTTTCGATTTGGCTTGCTTTGGAGGTTCGCACACCATTCAAGTCCAGCGCGAGGACACATGCAAGACTTGCCATGGCCGCGGAGTTAACGCGGATGTTGCTAAAGACCAGCGCTGCTCCAAGTGCAATGGAACCGGCACCACGCTGCAAGTGATGCAGACTCCACTGGGTGTAATGCAGACCCAGCTAGTTTGTCCGAAATGCGGAGGGACCGGCCTTGACCCCACGGCATCTTGTCGCAGTTGTGGTGGTAGAGGCACTCAAACGCAGACACAGGAGATCTCGGTGAACATCCCACCTGGCTGCAAGGCAGGCAGTCAACTCCGTATCAGAGGAGAAGGGGACAAGGGAATCAGAGGTGGGCAGCCAGGCGACCTCTACATCACCTTGAGGATTTGCCCCTCGAGGGATTTTGTGCGAGACGGGGCAGACATCTACAGTGAAAAAGTCATCAGCATCTTTGATGCGATGCTTGGCACATCGGTTGGGGTCACCACTGTCGACGGCATCACCGAGATAGAGGCAGGTGATGGTGGTGTGATTGTTTTTCATTTTTTCCCAAACAGTTTACTGTTCGGGTTCTCTCTTAGCGAAAAAGTCACTGGCCAGTTTCTGGCTGCGCCCCTGAACCCTGTATCCGGGTGCTGTCCTCTTGCTGCGCTTGCGAACCCTGTGTCCTCCTCTTCCTCTAGACTCTAGCCATGCTTGCGAGCTTTGAGTCCTCCTCTTGTCCTCCTTATGTCCTTTGTCCACGCTTGCAAATGCTGTGGCCTCCTCTTGTCCTCTTGGTGTCCTGCTGGCGAGCCCTATGTCCTCCTTTGTTCCCCAAAAAGTTTCGGAAAGAAATGGCTGGCCATGATAGCCGTGGCCGCGCCGTGGGCTTTGTTTTCCGCCTTGGTCTGGAGCTTGTCCAGGCCGTCCGCTGCGCTGCTGTGGGCTGCATTGTCTCCCCAGGCTTTGTTCGGGTCGTCATGGCGGCGCCTTGTCCAGGTATCCAAGTCTTATCTGGGTCTGTTTGTCCTGCTTGTCCGCGTTGACGGCCCTTTCACCACCGCCTTGTCCAGGCTTTGTCCGCTGCTTGGCACGCGGCTTTCCCTTTCTCCACCGCCTTGTTCGGGCATGTTTTCGCATGTTTTCACGTGGCTATCAATGCAACAGTGGCGCAGCGTTTCAAATTTGATACTATCTGGGATTTTCTCATGACACAATTTTATCCCTTCGTTTTTTGTACTTGTGACGAGGGAATCAAGAAATTGTTGTCAAACAATGCCACTGAAAGCTGCAGGAATGCAATCACAGAGGTAGCCACCAACATTGGAATTCAAGGAGTTGACGCCGCAAAAAGCATTGCCGCGTTGGCGATGCCAGGTGCCAGCAGGAACCCAGCCTTGCACAACAATGCGGCTTCGTGGAAGGGGCGCCCCTAAACTGGGCACCAAAGGCAGAGGATTGATCAGCGTGCAGCTTTTCGACATGCATGCCACTTTGCAAACCACAGATTCATCTTCTCCGACACAACACTGACACAAATTCGATCAAATTCGGATTTGCCTATCATTTTTTGACAGCTTCACTCGCCAGGAGACCACTATGTCACACTGCAGGTTGAGGCACATAGAAACAAGGACCTACGGTTTCACAAGTGTTCACAATCTATTCATCACAAATTTGTGATTGAAAACTGGAGGTGCCACACTCGCTTAATGATGAACAGCGCAAGCTGGTCTCAAAACTCAAAGAGGCTGGTTTCTTGTGAGCAGGATTTCATTTGCTTTGAAACTTCCACGATGCGGAACGAGGCCTGCCAATGACGCAAGGCCATCCGCTCGAAATGGTTTCGCACGCTTGGTTTGTCAGGAAAGGATCGACATCCGGGGGGGGGGGCAGGACGGTCCGAAAATAAGACAAGGGTGTCAAAAATATTAATCACGGATGGAATGCCACGTTATACAATGTTTTCAACATTCACAGCTTTCTAATGCAAGCAAACAAACAAACAATCATAAATTGATAATTCCTGGAGGCCCAGATAGCATTGGCTGGCGATGGTTTTTCCAAATCCACAAGGCTATTGCATACTACTTTCGTCATTGAATACTACTTTGTGATCGGAATGGTTGGTGCTACAAAAGAGGGTGCTCAACCGTTGTTCATGCATTGTTATTTTGGTATATATTTATGTTTTGGTTCATCATCATGTGAGAACAACATATTATAAAACATGTATTGCACGGTTGTTTTGCCAGAAACATGTTCAATCCATTGAACTCCACTGAAAACAAAACAAAAAAACCACAGAACGATAACTCCAGAAAACTCTTGTTTGGATGGAAAGGACGCGGACGTTTGCACAAGAGTTCAGTGTGTTGAGTATGGACCAAACGGGACGGTGCGTTACCTCATGGATACTAACATTTTTTTGCGGAAAAACGATGATTGCGGTTTCAGACACATAATTCCAGGAGATTCCTATAGCCTATATATACTATATATATAGCAGAAACGAAGCAAACGGTTTTGAACGATCATTTCACTAAGACTGCAACAAAACCAGTTTCTTGTATTTTCAATCATATACTTGTTCGACGAGAAATTCACTGTTGATGAACATAGACTATACATATATGATGCATGCATATGCGTGTGCCACATGACATACAAATATACTCTTGAAGGCTAGCCATGAGCATATCAAGAAACTACAATCAATACTGTAAGAAGAAACAGGGCGAAAAAAACTATGGCACATTTGAAGATCAAGTTCCAAGATTGAAAAGGTTGGGGTGCGGGGCTAGTGCAGTTATTGCAGGGTTTGTCATACCTCATGCCTGGGATGATGCAATCTGGCTTTAGCACAGAACAATGACTCAGATTCTAAGGAACATGTGAGCTGTCCCGCTCGCGGAACGGAACATAGCATTCACATAGGCACATCAAACAATCCAGTGCAAGGTATTCTTAGACATGATTGAGCTGTGGGATATTGTTGAAGTTTAGCACGCTATGAGCGATACTCCGATACACAATTTGATACATTACATTGCAGATCAGATACTGCATTTTGATTTTGTATACCACAGAACATACTGAACCTGTTTTGAGCTTCAGCTCACACACACAGCACACCATGCTCTGATGCGACAAGCAAGTGGGAAGACATGTCAGACATGTCCTGGGAGTTGTGGAGCATTTGTGGCCGGATGGCAATTAGCGGTTCCCACACATTGTCTTTGAGCGTGAGAAATGATATCACTGTTCGGTCACTTGGTCTCAAATTCTCCGATGCGTTGCAGCCACAGATGGTTGTTGCAGCCACAGTACGTGTACTGAAAGATGGTTTGTTGCTACCGGATGCAGCACAATTGAAAGATGCTGGCTTGGCAGATGGTTGCATAGTTGAGTTGCTGCAAACTGCTGGTACCGATGTGGTTATCACGGCCTGCAATGATAACGCCGCCCGGATTTTCTCGCTAGACTCTGGTCAATGCAGCGAGCTGCGAGGCCATTTTGGTCAGGTCTATGCATGCAGTGTGTCACCAGACAACCGCCACTTGCTGACAGCATCTGAGGACAAATCGGCCAGAATTTGGGAGGTCCTTGGAGATGCGGTGGTCGAAAAACGGTGCTTAAGACATGCTGGTGAAGTCTATTCCGCTGTGTTTTCACATTGTGGTAATTTTGCAGTGACAGCATCAGAGGATAACAGCGCGTGTTTGTGGAGGATGGATGGGACTCAGAGGTGGACTTTTTCGCACAACGGAGAAGTGTACTTGTCGACATTCTCATGTGATGATGAGCTTGTGCTCACGGCCTCCGAAGACGGTTCAGCTGCACTGATCTTTGCCGAGACAGGCGAGTGTCAATCAATGTTAGTCGGGCATGATTCTGCTGTTAATAGGGCTGAATTCTCTCCAGATGGCTGCCTTGTGGTAACAGCCTCCTTGGATGCAACCGGCCGAATTTGGAACAGGCAAGATGGCGTGCGCACCTACATTTTACGAGGGTCTCGGTCCGAAGTGAAGTACGCAAGCTTTTCACCCGACAGTAAGCTTGTGTTCCTCACTCATGCCAATGGAACGGCTGAGATGTTTTGCTCGCATACAGGCATTTGCACCCGGACGCTTCTCGATCATATAGAGCCTGTTTACATGGCTGTGTCGTGCCCCAATTGTAGGGTTGTGGCTTTGGCCAGCGAAGATGCCAGAGCAACTGTATGGAACATCACCTCCGGACAGAAAGAACTGACTCTGGAACATGCTGACGCAGTCACGTGGATTTCTTTTTCGCGCTGTGGAAAATTCATTGTAACAACATCGTGGGACTGCACTGCAAAGTTGTGGTATGCAGATTCTGGCGAATGTTTGGACACCTTAGAGGGGCATGCAAGTCCCGTTATTTATGCAGAGTTTGCTACGCTCTACTTGTAGCTGCGTCAGTGCTTTCATACAGTGGCCAGTCGAGTCCAGGCCAACATGACAAGGGAGCAAGTATCGACATCAACTATCCAGGGTGAGTAGGTAGGTGTCAAGACAGTTCAAAGCCTGGCAATGCCCGACTCATCAGCAAATAAGTTTATCAACATCCCCCAGCGTTTAAACAGGGTGTTGGTATGTATTGGTTTTGTTTTCTTGTACAATGTACAATCCTAGCTGTTTCAGTATTTTGCAATATCTTGGAGTCTATTTTGATTTTTCTCCGGAATGTAGCGAGGGTTCCGTCTATAGTCTGGGGGCTTGGGGGCTGGACCTATGTTCGCCTCGTGTTGTCTCGTGGCCCGGGACGTGTCGCGTTCGACCCGTGTGTGACCAAAAATTCCTGCCGTTGGGGGAAGCTTTTCGAACAGATCCGAGAAGTGTCCGATTCACAGCGTAGCATGTTTTCCGCGCAGCATTTCGTGAGGTCAGCAGTCACATTTCGTCGCTGTGCCATTGGGATTGGCGTTCGCAGGGTGGTCTTTTGGAGGTGTTGAATGTGGCTGTGCCATTGGAATTTTGTCGACTTGTCTAGTGTGCCACCCGCTCACGCATAAATCATCATAAATCGAGAAGTGTACCAAAACAATCCAAAACATTGAGGCCCAAGTTTGAGGGAAAAGCCCCGCTTTTTGCTTCGCATGGTAGCGGAGCGCTGTTTGTGAGCGCTCCCTACCGCACGCCACCACCACGACTCGCCGTAGGCGCGCGGCCCTGCGGTCCAGGCGAGCCCAATGGGGCACTTGGTCGGTCGAGCTCCTCTTGCTGGCGTGCTTGGCTGGGAAGGCTGGCGGCAACCTGTGCACGGAACTCCAATACCACAGGAAGTGCGACATTGTGCATGCAACACGATGCCACCGAATTCTTGAAAGCCTTTTTGGCCTACACCAGGCCACCTGCCCTGACGGGTTCGTGGACTCGGAAAGTTCAGTCCAATGAGCAGGTCACGATCATGGATCGAGGAACGGCCTTTTTTCCACCATCCTTTACCACAAGTGATGCCAACGCAGTAAAAGTCTCGCTGCAAGCCTTGATCAACGAATGGCACAATTACATGGGCATGGTTACAGCTTTCGACACTGATAGCCCTCTGCTCTGTTTTCAGATTGATCGGTTCAAACCTGAGAACAAAGCACGAGTCAGAAGAACACACAAGGTGATTGTGGAGGCAGAAGGCTACGAAGGCACTCTATGGTGGATTAGAAGTGGGAGGACAGTCAAGGCTTCGTTGACGGTGCAAGTCTTGAAAGGGAAGGGAAGAGGAAAGGAGGAGAAGCGAGATAGCTGGTAGTGGTGGTCCCCGCTAAGTGGAAGTTTGTGAAGAGGATTGAACTTCTGAGCAGTTTAGAGACGAGACAGAGACTGAGGACATTTGTGAGCTGTTGTCACAGTGGGACTACATCAAACTGCTCGACTACGGTGGCCTTCACCTCGAAGGAGGAGGAGGAAGAGGAGGAAGTTGAACCAAAGCTGACAACCAACACCTTATTTACTTTCATCCCGCACCTCAAGAACATGGCGGATGAGGGCTTGAGAATGTTTTCACAGGCCTTGCAACGCTTGGCCATGAACCAGTCATCGACAACATGGTCAAGACGCATGAAGACACCTGATCAATTGAATCAGAAAGTAGAGACAACGAAGTCAGGCAGTGGAGCGACTGGAAGTTTTCGTGAATCAACTACATCAAAGGCATTGAACCTCAGATGGCGAACAGCATGAAGCTGGTGGAAGACAACCTCAACAGTGACCTCAACCTGAACGACGTGACAGATGAGACGAAAGCAATGGCCATTCGGATCAAAACAGTTGACTGGTCTCATACCTGCGGAACAGACCATTGAAGCTGATGAGGCGTATGAAGGATTAGAATGGGTTCGAGGCATGGCAAAGATTGTTGAGGGGGATGCAACCTGCAACGCGCGCCCGTTCCCTTGCACCCCGGACTCAACTATCCAGGGTGCAGTTTGCTGAGGGAAAGACCATGTCAGAGCAGTTTCCTCAGCGTGATGCAGTTGTCACTGAGTATGAGAATATATGAGATGACGCCAAGATTGCGTGAGTGCTGCAGGCAGTGCCTTCACGCCTTCACGCGCGCCTGCAGCTATGGATCTCAGACAGTACAACCTATGAGCAATTGAAGCGCAAGGCGATGGAGTTCCTGCCAGAGCAGGCACGGATGGGCTCTTGGAAAGGAGGAGACAAAGGTAAGAGCTTGTGGGAGAAGGGGCTAGGAAAGAAGGGCGAAAGCGCAGAGAAAGGCAGCAAAGGAGGCAAGACCGGCGCGCGTCGCATTTGTGGGAAAGTGGGTCACTATGCCAAAGACTGCTCGAAGCGAGTGAGTCAAGTAGAAGAGCAAGCAGCCAATGGTCAGCAGAATCCTGGTGGAGCGAACTCATCATCAACAACAGGCCAAAAAGCGAGTGAGTCAAGTAGAAGAGCAAGCACCCACTAGTCAGCAGAATCCTGGCGGAGCGAGCTCATCATCAACAACAGGCCAAACAGGGTCTGGCGCGTCAGGTCAAGCCGCAGTCAAGATGGTTCGACTTGAGACACCTCCGAACAGTCACTCTTTGACGGCGCCGAAAAGCTCAGGAGACAGCGACAACTAACCATGGAGAGTTGGTGCAATCGGAGGCGAGATTGTGGAGACCTTCGACAAGACGGCAGAGGAGAGGTCAGAAGATGAGTTTGTGGACTGCATAGACTCACTAGTGCTAGTACCAGATGGCATTGCTGTAGCCATGGACCTACAAGATGGGCAAGATGGTGAGAACCAGTGAGTGGCGCAAACAATGGGCGCCAGGATCTGAGAATCTTCGGATGGTTGACGCCAAAGGAAACCAGATTGCCCATGATGGAGTCACGAAGGCAAGGAATCGGACAGTTGGCAAGAATGGCAAGAGTTTGTTTTGGGGAAATGTGCATCCTATGCATAAAAGAGTGGAGCGTTGGCAGCGCTTCCGGAGATTTGAGCTTGAGGCATGAGAACAGTGCCCATCAACAATGACAGGAACTCACTACAGTTCACGGCGCACATCTTCACGGTGGTCTCCGTGGACGTGGAGAGGAACAAGGAAGAACCAAGAAGGGCCACAGATGGCAAGGGCGCCAGCTCTTCGTGGCACTTTGAGCCGGTTGAACCAGGTTGGTGTTGCTTGCCAAATGGAACCGTGGCGTACAGTGACCCCATTGCCACGAATTTGACAGGTCCAAGAGTAAGGATGGAAAGCAAGGATGACGTTGATCAAAATTCCTCACGGCGCGTGGACACAGATCGAGAATGCGCCTGACTTCATGGAGCTAGAGGCAAAAGCCTTCACCCCCATCCTACATGGAGGATAAGTGGGAGCAGGAGTCAGGAGTACCGGTCAGACCATTCCCTGACGAGAAAAAATGGGCATCAACCAAAAAGAACAATAGGTATCAAAAGAAAAACTAGACGCCAAAAAATAGTCCTTGGTCAACCTTAGTCCTTTGATCCCTTTGGCCCCTTGGTCCTGGTCCCCTGGTCTCTTGGTCTCCTAATCTTGTTTTGGTCCTGGTTCCTTAGTTTGTTTGGTCCCTTGGTGTCCTGGTCCCTTGGTTTCCTAATCCTCTCTTGGTCCCTGATCCCTTGGTCCCTTTCATCTCTTTCATCTCTTGGTCTATCTTATCTATCTTATGTTTTTCGTCTACCTTATCTACCTTATTTTTTTGTACGCAGTTATTTCTTCAACACGGCCAGGAACAAAATGCAAAATTCTAGACAATGACAAAAACTACTAACTACTACTACTACCACTACTACTACTACTACTACTACTACTACCCACCCACCCATTCTCACCAACCACTATTGTCGCCAACCAATTGCCACCAACCAATTGTCACCAATTGTCACCAACCAATTGCCACCCACCAATTGTCACCAATCACAGTTGTCACCAACCAATTGCCACCAACCAATTCCTCCCGCTTGCCACCAAACAATTGTCACCAACCACAATTGTCACCAACCAATTGCCGCCCACCAATTGTCACCAACCACAGTTGTCGCCAACCAATTGCCGCCAACCAGTTGTCACCAACCAATTGCCATCCACCAATTGTCACCAACCAATTGTCAACAACCAATTGCCACCCACGAATTGTCACCAACCAATTGCCCTCCACCAATTGCCATGCACCAACCAGTTCCATCCGCTTGCCACCAACCAATTGCCACCAACCAATTGTCACCAACCGATTGTCACCAACCAATTGCCACCCACCAATTGTCACCACCAACCAATTGCCACCAACCAACTGTCACCAACTGCAATTGCCATCCACCAATTGCCGGCCACCAATTGTCACCAACCAATTGCCATCCACCAATTGCCACCAACCAACTGCCACACAAGACAACAACACACGCACACACCCCACATTCATTCACACGTGAGCCACGTGACAACACGAGACTGACAAGACAACATCACACACACACACCACACATGGACAACATCACATTCACTCACACGTGAGACGGAATTGAAGGACAGACTGACTTGCATTGACTGACTGACGTGAAGTTTTGGTGTGCGTCAGCTGTAGACTTTTGCACTCCACCACCATTCAGATGCTGCACCCACACATATACATACACACGCAGACATGAGACAAACAATCAACTTTCAACCAACAACCACCAACCAACAACCACCAGCCCCATCCACTTCCAAACAACAACCACAACCAACCACCGCTCGCTCACTCTCCTCCATCGTCTAACCCCTCTTTTCTCCGGGCGCTTCTCCTTCTCACCGCAGACGTTATCTTTGGATAAGTTGTTAACATGTGGGGTTATCCGGTCCTATCATTCTACTTTCTTTTTGATACCCCTAAATATTTGCTTTTTGATCACTGCTATTTGTTGACCCCTCACCCCCTACAAGAGCGTCGCAAGAATGCCACACAGGAGTGCCCTACAAGAGTTTCCTACAAGAGTGGCCTAGAAGAGCATTATGCGAGAGTGTCAATCAAAAGTGCGGCGCAAGCATGTCCTACAAGAGTGTTTTTAAGCATGCTGCCCGAAAATGTCTAATGTCCGTGTTCGAAGAGCGCCGTTTGTGTCGGCGTACGTGTGAGAGCGCGGTTTCGTGGAAACTATCACGTTTTTATCGCTGTTGTTGGGCCGGCTTTGGTGGGCTCTCTCTCATTTGCCGTCAGCGGTTTGAGCAAGACTGGCTAAGCAAGACTGGTTACTAGTTACTAGTTATTTTTTTGGTAGCGCATTGTAAAGTCTTGCAAGCGCATTGCAGTTTCTTCAGTTCTTGGATCAGGTGCACATTCAGGCTTTGAGAATGGCCCAAACACGCTGACATATTTCGGCGTGACAGTGAATGTTTCACCATTGTGCTACCTTTAAAGGAATACATTATTATTGCATTGACAATTTTGAAACATATCTGCGGTTGAGAATAGGTTTTTGACATCACACCCGCCATGCAGATTACAACCGCGACGCAGACAATGTTTTTTTGTAATCGCTGCCAATGGGTTGCGGCAGCTCGGTGGCTTCCCAATACAAGGGTGGCGCGGGCAACTTGAAGACGTGTCCCGCGTGCCCTGCGCGCCCTGTGGAGAACCAGGCGAGCCAAAGTGGCAAAAAACCCAAAGAGTTGCGCATTTCCTCCACTGCTTTAAAATTCCTGGCGCAGGGTTCTTCCCCAGATGTAAGCGCTATTCATTACGCTCATTACGCTCCAGAGATCGGATTGAAGAAAGTGGGGAGAGTTGAAGCAGACAACACGCACAACTTCGCCTCAGAAGGAGCTGGCTGCAACGGTGGACACCTTGGCCCATGGGACAAGGAGGATTTGAGTTTTGGGCCAAGTTTTGGACCTCTGGAGTTTCAACCTTTCGACCGAGATAAGATTTCACGTTTGCCCATCCAAAAGCCATGTACTGCAGGTGCACCCTTTGCTGGTTCTCAATCTTACATTGTGGGAGGTGTTTTGGCCAAGACGGACAACTGTGAGGTATATTTGGGTGCATTTAGCAGGACCAAAGTTGCAGTGAAGCGAATCTCCAAGGAACTATCTGCGCAACCATTTCAGACACATGTGAATGAGGTTCGGTGCTTGCTCCGACTCCAACACGAGCGTATAGTAAAGCTTCTTGGGGTCTTTGATTCTGGTGACTCCTTGGACATAGTTCTGGAGTATTGCCGGAAAGGTGCTTTGCGCAACTATGTCACTGAAAACTGTAACCCTGAGCACCTTTTCCAAATCCTTTGTGATGTGGCGGAAGCTTTGACATTTATGCATGGTGAATGGTTTGCGCACTTGGACATCAAGCCCCACAACATTTTGGTTGAAGATGTGGAGCAGGATTCTGGCTTGCACTAGTCAAAAAGGTACGAAACGCTGGCCTCTTCCCCAAACAGGTCAGGATTTAGTAGGGGGTTGTCGAACAGATAGGCGCCAACCGGTGCAAACTTGAGACATCCAAGGTCATACATTGGTAGTAACAAGGGCATTACTAGGAACAAGAAACTACTAGTAACAAAGGGCAGCGCTGACGCTACTAGGGGCTCCTGGCCCTACTACTAGGAGCAAGAAGCTAGTACGGTGCAAACTTGAGACCAAGGTCATACGTGGAAAAATTTGCGATTTGGGGACTACTACACGTCTCGGGGTTTCTGGCTGCCTGTGTGGCATCATGGGAACCCCGGGCTACAGGGTTTGCTCCCAAGTGATGTGCAAGTCCACAGCCATTTGATGTTTTTTTGGACATTGCGTTCTCCGGGCTTGTATAATGCATATTGTGAACCATTTTCAGTATCAGTATAGATCACAACTAGTGTACAGGACATCACTAACATTTCACTCTGTGCAGTCTACCTGACTACAGCACTTTTTGGATCAGAAGAGTCTTCGCAGGGTGGCGGAGCAAGGATAAGGGTAACCCCCTTTGAGCTCCAGAGGAAAAGCCCCTAGGTCACTGGGATCCCGTGTGCGATTCGAGCCCTAGATTTGGGGCCTTTGGAACCCAAAACAGCTGGACTGGTGGAGAATTGTTGTGAGCAACACTCCATACCCCGTACATGGTGTCCAAGAGACACCAGTACCAAGAAAGAATGGAGGAGATCAGAGAAATCCTTCAAATTATAGCGCAGAGTACGCTGGCATCAACATCAGCAGCTGAGGCAGTGAAGAAAGCAGGTTGAAGACAAGAAGCCCTCGACGACAGATAGGTCAAAACTGATAGCAAAGCCCAACATCTTTGACTATAAGTCACAAGAAGAGGAAAGAGTGCAGTTCATGAGGGCTACATGAACGACCTGAAGGAAACTCATGCGAAGCCAAACGACAAGTTTGACATGGACTTGGCAACTACAGAAGAAAAGACCAGGTGCATCAAGCTTTTGGGCTTGCTAGCTTTGATTCTTGATGAGAGGAAGGGCGCTGCAATTGGTGAAAGCTGTGGAGGACCCCAATGACTTGACGCCTGGAGGAGTTTGAATAAAGCTTTGACACCAACTTCAACCAGGTTTTTCAACGAACAGTGCGCTACAACCTCGACCCTTGAAGCTTGAAGAAGTATTTGATGAGACGGTCAAGGCAGGGACGACAATTCAGGAAGAGTCGAAATCTGCTATTCTTTTGAGATGTGTCGGTGGACAACTCAAATCCTACTTGAGTTTGACATTTGGCGACAATGTTCAATACCCAACTTTTGAGGGAACAAGTGTTGCAGTGGGATCGTTCTCAGCAGAAGTGGGCTACTTCCATGGTGGCTAGTCTAGTAGTTCTGCCAATGGACATTGATCGAGTCCAAGATGCCAAAGGAAAAGGCAAGAGGGCGAGAAGGACCATCGAATTGGCAAAAGTAAAGATGCCAAAGGCGAAGGAAAGAAAGGGAAAGGTGATCAGAAAGGAAGGTGATGGCAAAGGCAAAGGTAATGACAAAGACCAGAAACGTAAGGGTGTGGCAACATGTTACACTTGTGGAAAGCCAGGACATCTTGCTAAAGACTGCTGGAGAAACAGTATTCGACACGACAGGCAGAAAGTGAGCCAGCCGATTCATCTTCAGGAGGAGCATCATTGACTACCCATACAGTTGGTCAACAACATGCCAAGGTTAGCCAGCAGGGTAGCTCAGCAGACACCAAGCCAAGCCAGTGGTCAGAAGAATTGAGAACGGTGAGCCAATCATCTTTGACTTGCGAGAAAGGGATGATGAGCTAGAAGATCAGGGAGTTCGAGTAATTCACTTCTACATTGGAGATGATGATGATGATGATGGTGATGAGCCAGATGCAGGAAGTTGAAGAAATTGACATCTCGGATGATGAACCCGTGGTGAGGAGACTTGGGGAAGAGGGTGAGATTGACAGTGGAGCTGATGTAGCGTTATTGCCTTTGAGTATGGCAGTTCATGGGGAAGGAGAGTTGGAATTCAGCACAAAGACCAAAGGAAATCGCATTCCCACAGGAGGTGCGAGAAGCGTTGAAATTTCCTTGCGCGACCTGGATGGACGAGAGGTTCTTCTCAAAGAGAATGTGATCTTCAGTTCAAAGGTGAATCAGCCCATACTTTGCTATGGAAGACTGATGGAGCATGGTTGGGAATCAACAAGAGCAAATGTTCGAGAATGGTGGCTTGAAAGTACCACTCAACTTGCAAAATCGCTCTTTGACAGTCCAAGGCCGCATTAGAGTCATGAGAGATGAAGACGAAAGCCGCTTGGAGGCGCAAGCCTGAAGCTTTGGAGAAAGAATGAGGTTGGAGATTCAATGAGCATGGACTGCTACTCGGAAGCTTATTGATGTCAAGGTTTGTGGATCCCACAGTCATTCCAGAAGTGGAAGAATCACCAGAGTTGATGAGCTTTGGTGAAAAGGGGGGGTAGACGGCTAAAGCCTGAATATAGTGAACGCCTGACGAAAAAGGATGAACTTGATGAGACATTTTTTGATGATGACGCAGTCATTCATTCGGTCGCAATCTTTAGCTATGAGGCAGCGCCGCCAGAGGATATGGGGTTCTTTGCACTAGGATACAAGAAGCTTGAGAACAGAGAACAGAGAAAGAACGTGGATCAGGCAATCGAGAAGATTCCCCCTACTCCACCGGAGAATGAGGTAGATTCTGAACAAAAGAAAGATGAAGACCTTGAATGTGACTACACTTGAGCCCAGTGGATGTAGACAAAGTCTTGGTGAATGGAATAGAGTTGACTAAGTATTCTTCTTTGGCAACTTTGAGGGGAGCGTGTTCATTTTCGGCACTTCAGGCAGTGGCTCTAAGCTAAAGGTCTACGCCAAGATCCTCAATCGCAACAAGAAGATGGAGTTGTTGAACGCCAAAAGCTTGGGTGAGTGAAGCAAAAGCTCAAGAGACAAGAGAGGCATCAGGGCAAAAGTGTTGCAAAGATGCCAGAGGAAGCAGCTCAAACAAGGCGCAAGTTGACGCACATGCCATATGCCAGTCGGTGTAAGGAGCGCGTTGAACATCGAGCGCGTCCAGATCGCCATGAGAGAACAGATGGAGTATATAGAGAGGAAGTAATCCTGAGTCCTGACGTAAGCTTTGACTTTTGCTATAAAAGAGCAAGGGATTCAGTGACAAAGTCAGCAAGAGCAGTATGTTGGCTAGTTACAATTGACAGCCAGACTGGATTCATTCATGTTGCGCCATTAAGAAGCAAGAACCAAGTTTGCCTTATTGCGCGCGAGTTGATGAATTTCAGTCAATTGTTGTGGTATTCAGCAATCGCCTACAGGAGTGACAATGAACCCACAACAAGGCAAACCCTCGAGATGCTGATCAATGCTCGCCACAGTCCAGGACTTACCGCCAGATCGATTATCTCAAAGATTGGAGATCATTCGTTCCTGTCAGAGAACGCAGCTGACAGGGTGAGGAAGCTTGCAGGAACTTTCATTGAAGGTATGCAGTCAAGACTTGGTACCAAGATTGGATCTGATCATGCAATTCGGACTTGGGCAGCAAGACATGCCAGTTGGGTGCTGAATAGATTTCAGCCAGTCAAGGGTGCAAATCCCTATGAGCTTGTCTATAGGCAAGAGTAACAAAGGACTCCTAGCAGAATATGGTGAACCATTTCATGGTTACATCAAGAGCCTCAATAAAGGAGAAGCAAAATTGCACCTATGCTTGTTCTTTGGAAGAGACAGGACACCTATGTGCTAACGGATGGTGTGCAGGTAGCGCGAGCAAACGCATCAGAAGAACAGATCAAGATTTGCCCAAATACTTATCCATCTACAAAATTAAAGCTTCTTTGCCTATTCGTGAGAGTATCAAACCAATTTTGGAGGCAGCATCATTGCCGCAAAGAGGAGAACAGAAGCATTACCAGTAGCCCAGTAGCTCAGTAGCTCAGACAGACATTCCCCGAGAACATGTAACGCTGAAATTCAAGGATGAAGATGCAGAAGCAGTGATGGCAAAAGCGCTTGAAGGAGGAAGTGATTCAGGGAAAGAGGCACTATTCCCAGAACCAATGGCGGTTCCAGCCCCGCTGGAAATCATTGTTGAAGCAACGAAAAGAGATGGAGGTGAAAGGAAGCCAGGTGGAGAAGAAACCCCAAGTAAGAAGCATAAAGTTCTCTTTGCAGATGAGAAGACACTTGAGAAGGTGAAGGCGTTTCCCTCTACATCATTGTTAGCAGGACAGCCTAATCCAGTTACCCCCTGTACTGCCCTCATTGAGATCACCATCAGCGCCATCGAGACCAAGGGAAGCATTTGACCTGTTGGAGGAGGAAAGCCCAACGAAGAAGCTCAGGCCATCAGATGATTCAAGCAAGAAGGCCAAGATTAATTTGGTGAAAGTGGCAGGCGAAGATCACGAAAGCTAGCGTCAGCTAGCTGGAGTTGTCCTTGCTTTAGCAAGTGAGGGGCTGGAAGCCTCGAGATCGCCGCGTCATATGTAGAGGGCCGCCCCCCCCCCCGCGGGTTCAACTCCCCCCTAAAACGCCTCTGGGACGGACGCCTCTTATGGCATCCACTTTGGTTCAACTCCTCCGTGGAGGTTTTGGGATACGACGCGAAAGATTCAACAGATTCACAAGCTAAGGTTGGCTGTGTCATTGCTGTTCGTGTGTCTTACATGTTCGCAGCGTTTTACCTCATGAGCGAGACCTTGTGAACCATCCCTCCGACAGCCCCATGCCTATGAAAAAAGATTTGCCTCACTCCGCTTGATGTCCCACCAGTCCGTGCTAGCTTTCGTCGCCTACCCTCGGCCTCAAGTCTTTATCATGTGGATGATCCCCAGTTGCATAATAAGTTGATGAAAGAAGACTGGGAAGAAGGAGGTGAGCCAGAAGAAGACAAGTGAATGGACCTGAATGGTTGTGGCGTGATGGAGAATATGAACCAGAAGAAGATGCAGAAGAATGGATAGACAGAGTAGCTGATGAAGTAGAAGAGAAAGACTCCAAAAGATGCAAGCGCTAGAGAAGCCAGAAGACAGCGCAAAAGGAACCAGTTACCTGAGAACCCGCAATGTGTATGACAGGAGAAAGAAGCCTTACCAAAACGCGGGTGGAATAACAAGCAAGAGGTGGAACAGAAGATCAAGACTGGTTGCGAGAGAGTTTGCTTTCGCTGAAGGAAAGAGAGATGATATTTTCTGGACGGCGCTTCACTTGCGCACGCAAGATTCGCTCAGCTGTGCGCGCAGGATTTCATGATAAATTTAACTCACCTGCGCGCACAGGATTCGCTCACCTGCGCACGCATTGGTTACATTCTTCTTTAAACAGTGCATGGTACCTCAAACTCAGCTGCTTGCAGATTTCGCTCACCTGCGCACGCGCAAACTGTGATTCTTTCATGATATGTCGTTGGGTCAGGTCTCCACACACATGCTCGTGTTAATAACGTGCCTCTGAACATTCACCTACATGATGATCTCTTTTTGCTAAGTGCTTCCACAGTACCGTGTAACACAGATGCTCTGCGTCCTTCATTCATTCATTTCATTTCATTTCATTTTCATTTCAATTCATTTCATTTCATTTTCATTTTCATTTTCATTTCATTTCATTTTCATTTTCATTTTCATTTCATTTCATTCATTCATTCAGTCAGTGAGGAGGAAGAAGCAAGAGAGGGAGAAGGAACATTCCTACAGATGCTAGGATGTCTTGATGTGAAGGACGCATTCTTGCAGGTTCAAGAGAAGCCATTGAAAGTGAACTTGAGAGGAGAAGAATTCCTGGTGAAGAGAAATTTGCCTGGACAGAGAGTTGGGGCAAAAGCATGGTAAGCATGTTATGACTTTTTTCCGCAGAGTACTTCACCAAAAAACTAAAATTACAAGTTCAGTGCTGAGTGTCCACGCCTAGGAAGAAATGAGAAGAGCGCTATTTCAATCCATGTGGATGACTTGATTTTCACAGGAGACTCAAAGTGCATCACTGAAACCTTTGGTCAAAAAATTCAAGACAGGTTTGACACCAGTGTGAGCAAGATTGAGAAGAGTGGTTGGCGGTGAGTTCAGCTTGAGAAAGCTAAAGAAAGATGGACTATGGACCCAGTTAGGTAAACTACATCCAGCCAGCAGATGCTGAAAGCCTATGAGGAGGTGATTGGCGAGATCCAACTTCAGCAGTTACCATCAGACAACTCAATTCATCAGAAGTCTTGCGTGAGTCGTGAGCGAGAGAAGATTGGCCTTTTCAGAAGCATTGTTGGATCAGGTATCTACCTATGCCAAGAGAGGTATGGTGTGGCATTCACAGTGAAGGAATTAGCTTCAAGAATGCCAGATCCAACAGCTATGTTATTTCATCGTTTGAAGAAGTTCCTAGACTTTGTTGAACTTCCACAAGCAGGAGAAGGGTATGTTAAGAAAGGAGAAAGCTTTTGATGCTTAGTGGAAACAAAGGCCACAGAAAGTCAACGTTAGGAAGGTTCCATGCGTTGAGCGGTTGTTCTTTGTTCAACAGCAGCAGGGCGCCGAAGATCGTTTGCTTATATATCTTCACGCGAGGCAGAACTACACGTCAGATGGAATCTATATTTGCGCAGTTCTTGAATTTGCTCTTGGAACAAAAGTGGACCGCTACATCTTCACAGATTCCTCGAGCGCACGCCAACTTGTGATGAAGAGGGGATTTGGAAAAGTGAGACATTTGGATGGAAAGTTGCTATGGAGTCAGAACAGGAAAGACTTCAAGATGGTACAAGTACCAACAGATAGCAACATGGCAGCCATCAATACAAAGCCACTTGGAGGGCAAAGAACCAGATGCGGATTGGAAGCAGTGAAGAAATCCAATGAATGGAAATTCTGGTTTGTGATTATTGTGCTCAACCTCATTGGTTTTGCGGCAGTGATCTTTGTACCCTTCAAGATCTACGATGACTTTGAGACCAGCTATTCCAGTGAAGTTGGTTCAAACCGCTTCAAGTTTGACTATTTGGAAACTAAAATCAAAAGAGTTGAGAAGCAAATTGAAACACTTGAAAGCAAGATTGGAGATTGTGAAGAAGATGAACATCAGATAGATCTACGCAGGAGAATTCATTGTGGATGGATTGATTTTCAATGGAGGCTTTGTAGAGAGGGACACCAAAATACTCAAGCCATTCCCAGCTACGACATAACGTGAGAAATCAACGCAGGAAACTACCCAGCCCGAAGGAGCTTGGAGGCCATGCAAGCAACAGAAGGACATTACGAAGGACATCGAATGGTGCTAGAAGCAGCCAATGAAGGTGCGAACCCATCAGAGGGACCATTGAATAGAACATTTAGGCCAGGAAATAGAGACATGTCAATCAGGTCAGAGCATATGAAGATGAAGGCAGATAAAGGTGCAGGCAGTGCAGATGTGTGGTAGATGTCAGGCTAAACTTGAGGAGTTGACAACAAGACATTGGGGTCTATGAGGAATGGGAGAACGAGATCTTGCAGACAGAGTTGAACAACAAGGAAAAATGAGCATCTACTTGAAAAAACAGAGTATCGAACAAACGACCCAGATCTCGATCCAGCGCAAAGATTTTCCAGGAACCCCGTTCTTGAAAGAAATGCATGGGCCTGCAGAGAAAAATATCGTTTCAAAGGAAGAAATGGACTACAGTGGCAGAGTAGCAGTTTGATCGCTCACACAACCAAGAAGGAATGTGAAACATTTTCAGCATAGGTCACAACAAATGTACAGGACACCACTAACATTTCACTCTGTGCAGTCGTCCAACTGACTACAGCCCTTTTTGGATCAAAAGAGTGTTCGCATATATATCTATATATTATCTATAATTATAGTAGTCATGTCTCTAACTCAGAAGGTCTGCAAGGTTCTGGACCTTAACAACCTGAGAGCGGCGTGTTTGTCCTGTCACAGCGGGCAACTGGGGCATGAGCCAGCATGATTTACAACTCACCAATTGAACGACGCGGATGCCCGCAAGGCAACATGCCTTGTCAGCAAGCAACGGACCCTTACTTGGGTAGGGGGTGGCCATGACAATTGCATCGCAACCATGCGCAACTAAAGTATGTGAATGCTTGCATACTGGGATAATTGGGGGGTGAGGGTCAGATCCCTCCCAGTGATAAAATAGGTTATTTACAGTATCGACCTGGATCAGTGAGACCTTTACTCGTGGGATCCCCTGCCAGCGTGTGTTTTTGCGACAAACGGAAGCAGTTGTCAAGCGTGGGCTTTGTCCACTGCGCGGGGAGACACGTAGGGAAACAAGAAAGGGAACAACCGAGGTATCATGCCGTGACAGGGACTTAGCGCGGAGACAGGCGGAGATACAATCGCGCTAGAATTGAGAAACCCGACGGTACAATGCCACTGTTTAAGGATGAAAACCCAGGGCGTTACAACTCAAAATGAAGGACACCCGCACCCTGTCTCCATGCAGGTCATTGTAGCAACCTCAAGAACCTCTATGAAGGGAGTCTAGTCAACATGAAAACTCGTGGGTTTGTAGAAACCAAAGCGCAGCTTGTGAAGGGCAAACAACAAACAATAACAGCAAAAACCGACGCCGCCGGTATGGCAATCAAAGTCAATTCGCGTGAAACCATGAAACCCCAGCGTGAAAAGATGTAAAGCAGAACTTACACCAGAGCAAATTTGGAAACTGCTCAATCGGTCAGAATTATTAATGCTTGAAAGACCAGGAAACCTCACGACAATCACCGCGAGAATCATTCATCAGACCACAACCAAAGATGCACCAGGTTTCTTCAAAACACCCCCCCTGCCATATGGCCATTTACAATTGAGAGTTTGGGTTGCTATATCGGCAACTTGTCAACCAGCAATCTATTATGACGATTGACAAGCAGTGCGGTCAACTCAGTTGTCGAACGTGGTCTTTCATTTTTGTGATTTTGTAAAACGAAGGAACCAGTCGCGAGAAACGGTCCCTGCGCGACTAAAGCAAAGAGACGAGACGTTGACCAATAGATTAAAGAACTTAAAGAGACCAGTTGCTTTCTGAAGTTGAATGTGTTGCCATTTTCCAAGGCGCCCGAGATTGACCAGGGTGAATTCAATGCTTATCAGGCAACGCGGCAGCGCTACAAAGCATCGTGTTTTGTTTCTCATCTTACATGTTTGCCGTGGTCAAAGCAGAAAGAACAGGAACAACCACATGGACATGCTTTAAATATCTTTAAAAATCATTTATATAAATGTCTCTTGGGCATGTTGACGCTGGATGGAGAGCAATGAAACAATCCTAGGCCGATGTGTGGTCACTGGGCAAAGTCGTAGAGTTTGTCGAAGCACAAAGCCCTTGGACTGCATGCTTTGTTAGTCTTTTTTTTTCCCTGCTGCAAACCACATTCAATGCACTGCTGATATCAATATGCTCAGACTAAGGCCTAAGTTTGCGGGGAGTGCAGTATGCACCATTTTTGGACAAATGTCCAAGTTCCCGTCCCCGCATGTCTGAGTGCTGGACAGTTTTCAGGGCTGGTTTGAAAAATGCTTCACATGCAATGCCATTTGATTGCAACGTTGGGCGTTGCACTTTCAATTTGTGGAGTGGGCGTACTTGGTTCTGAATATGCAATCTGATTGTGGTCTTGGTCTCTCAAGGGCGACAAACTTGTGAGAGTTCGACATCGTGGATGACAGCATTTCAGATGACTGCTCATCATATACTATACTGATATACTCAACGTCAACGACGCAATAATGATTAATACCGAGTGATAGACTGGTGGGCCGCCTGCGAACACACTGCTATTGGGTCCTTAGTAGTGAATCTCTGACTAGTCTAGTCTCTGAGCCACATATGCTCGTGCTCGCCATGTCGAGATGCCCAGCACCAAGTCAGAGCATAGCCGCTATAGCCCTTTTCTTGGCCTCACACCACATCAAGGCACGCTCCAGACTCCAGACTGAAGACATTACGAGGAACTGAGAAAGAGTTCACCCCGTTCCATCAAGTGCCCATGCCATGGTGTTTGCCAGCTGATAGACGCCCTTCTGACATGTGTTTGGAAAGTGAATTCTGTTCAGCCTTTTCATTCCTTCTTCCTTTTCACGCTTGCAGGACATGGAGCTCAATAACGCGGAAGCTGGGTGATTGGTGTCAGCCTTTGCTTTAGGCATTGGACCTTGGAGATGACGTATATTCAGTGCAGAGTGCAGAGGAAATAGACGTGAATACCTGTTGAGGAGCAAGACAATCACATTCATTTGGTATTTGTACTAGTAGCTTTTTGTTACTAGTAGTACAGCCAGGAGCCCCTAGTAGCGTCCTTTAGTAGTAAGGCCAGGAGCCCCTAGTAGCGTCCTTGCGTCCTCCTTTTGTCGACACCGGAGAGGCAGCGAGGCAAGACTAACAAGCAGCGCTGTGAGCAACAAACTCAGCGCTGAAGTTTCCCAGATGCCGAGAGTTGATAGAAAGAAGCTAGTAGAAACAATGTTCGCTACTAGGAACAAGTGCATCGCTTCTAGTAACAAGTGCCTTACTAGTAAACAAGAAGCTAGTAGTAAGGCACTTCCTAATAGCTTCTTGTTACTACTAGTAAGGCACTTGTTACTAGAAGCGATGCACTTGTTACTAGTAGCTTATTGTTTCCCATGCTAGTTTTCTTTTTCCTGTTTAGAGGCGCTGGTCGATTGGTGGCCAGATTGGCAGTGGAAGAAGCCGGCTGCGGCCTTGTCCAACAGATGTTTCCGCTTCAAACTACGGTATCTATTGACACATAGTCACATAGTGCAGTGCAACTTGTCAATGGTATGTATAGCTATAGATAGAGGTCAGGTGACTTTGTGCTGCCTTGCTTTAAGATCGCCCGCTCTGACTTGATTGTCGAAGTAGTGAAACATTGAAGACATGATACAATTCTGCAAACGCATACCTTTGTTCACATAAATTTTGATTTTTTTTTACTGTAGTCGTTACCTCAACGTGTTTGTGTTCGAGCTTTCCGTTATGGGGCTGATCATTTGGAACTTGGAACCACAGGGTTTGGTTGAATTCTTGTTCTGACGAGAAAGACTTGTAATACTGTAATTGCTGACGGTCTGTTTGCCAGAATGACCATTTCCACCAGTAATTTTCTGGCTCAAGTGCCGCAGCAGGTTTTGCCCCTTTCTATGACCATGTTTCTTGGCAGTTCGAAGCAGCCATTTTTGATGTTGATTGAGATTCAAATGACTCAGAAGGTTAGTTTAAGGTTTCCCAAACATTCCACAAACCAATCAGTCAGGCAAAGAACCCTGAGCTTTTTGCCGCTTCCTGTCTTAGCTTCTTAAACTTATCAGTGGCTCGATGTGCGTAAACAACATGTATAGATATTTACTGAACGCATTCTTGAAAGTGTCTTCAGGTCTCGATTTTGCCTCAACACTGCTTAGCATTTTGTATTTCGAGGTCCAAGTCTGAGGAGCTTGGTGATTTGAACCATTTAGTTGTGGCCCAGCTGAACAAGACCAAGTTGTGTGCGATGCTCCTCAGTCGCACAGCTGTGTAGAGGCACAAAAGCACTGACTTTTGCTTCTCCCTTTTCCCTTTTGTTTGTGTGTGGACAGTTTTCATCTGTTTTTTCTCGTTAGCTGCATGCCAGAAAGCAGGTTCGCTCGTGGCCGCGGTCTTAGCGTTTCTGCGCAAACACCTGAAGCTCCTCGTATGTGTGTGCGCAGAAATCTGAACATTTGGGCCTGATTTGGCCTGTGTGGCTCTTTCCTCTTGGATCGGTGAGATGAGTTGGAGGTTCTTGCAATGACACATCATGCCGATTTGCCCACTCGGTCACAGAGCTACGTGCACCACCAGACCTGACGAAGACAGTCTCTTGGCGAAGTTTCGGTTTAGCAATGTTCAGAGCATGATTGCAAGATGCATTGTCAGCGTTAATTGGTATCATTGTCAGCATCCAAAGCTGCGCAAGTTTGGTCACGTTTGAAAGTGCATTTTGTTTTTCAAGGCCATGTGTCGCGCATTTGCCCGCGGAGAGTGCGGCGATGCTGACTGCAAGTTTGCACACGGCGAGAAGGATCCCTTATGAATGTTTTTTGCTGTGAATCAAAGGGCTGGAAGGCATTGCCATGGCTGCCATTTGATGGGGTTGAGTGTTCATGATGCCAAGTGATGACCAAAGCAAGGAGCTTCGCGTCACTGAGAGTGTGCAGCTTGGAGAAATACTTATGAGACAACAGACCTCATTGGGGATCATGATGAGGAGGGTTAGATCCCCAACTTCTGCCGTAGCCTCAGAAGCGATCTGTCCAAGTCTTGGAACCAAAGCCTTTGCGTGAATGACAAGTCAAACCCAATCCACGCTTGACGCCCGCCAATCATGGGCGTTTATATGTATAATTCTGTAGTTTCAAAGGGGCTCAGAGGTCTACACACTGTTTGGAGACGTTTCGATCTATATATATTGTTTCTATTGTCTATTTCTTTGTAGACTTCTGCTACTACCTCAGCAGCGGCACCATCACCACGACGACTAGTAGTAACAGTAGTAACAGTAGTAGTACTACTACTGCTACTACTACTACTTCTTCTTCTACCACCACTACTACTACTACTACTTCTACTTCTACTTCTACTACTACTACTTCTACTTCTACTTCTACTTCTACTACTTTCCTCATGCTGCTGCCCCGCTGCTAGAGTTTCTCCGTTTTCCGTGTTTGATTCCCACCTCGGGATATGCCCACGTCGGCTTTTGAGCATGTTGTGTTTCCAAGGAAGCCCAAGGAACAAACATCCAAAGCAACAGCATATGTAAAGTATTGAATTCTTACCTAGAGCCTAGAGCCTTTGATTTGGTAGGAGTATATGACTATATGACAGGAACCTTTGAACATGACTGCAGAGTTTGTTACAAGCCTTGTAAACCAACGCAGAAAACGCAAGCCCTCCTCCAATGTCCGCCTCTGGGTGAAAAAACGTGGACATCCGTACATTCGTTCTTGATCTGAGGTACAAGACGCAGTTTCTTGTCACAAAAATTGAGGGAGCAGAGTCCGAGGAGTGCAGAGCTAGTCCGGTCTTTTCTGATGGGCGTCGGCGGATGTGGTTTTGAGGGGCTGGGATTGCGAAACTGCTTGGCAGGGCTGCTTGTACTCGCTCTGATGAGACTTCCCGCTTCACTTTTGTTTTGGAAACTTTCCAAGAGTGTGCCACAAGAGTGTCCCACAAGTCTAAGTGTGAATGTCCCAGTGTTGCGCGAGAGAGTGTCACGCAACAGTTTTCCACAGTGTCCCACAAGTGTACGGCGCCAATCATCCCACTCCCCAGCAACACGCCACGTCCACGCCCGCGTGTTTCCATCTCCCCAATGGCGCGGACTCACGCAAACGCACTTTCCACCGAGGCCGCGCCAAGCCCGCGTGGCACAGCCACATCGCATCACACGTTGTGGTGCCGCAGACGCTGTAGACTAGATATATCGTCATGAACAATAACGCCAGGCCTCGTGGACATCGCCAATCATCCCGCTCCTTTACCCCGGCTTGTTGCCTTGCACGCCCCGGCTCGCGCAAACGCGCTTTCCACCGTGGCGGTGCAAAGCTGCGTGGCGCAGCGACGTCGCAGACGTATTTTCGCAGCTGCGCTTTGAGAACATCCGCCTTTAGCCTTTTCATTTTCGACGACAGTTACACACTTTGGCGTCGCCCACCTTCATTTTCGACGACAGTTTGCGCACATGGCGTCGCCCGCCTTCCTTTTCGACGACAGTTCCGCAATTTTGCAACGTCCACCTTCAGTTTCGACGACGGCGATTGCACACTTTGGCAACGTCCGCCTTCGTTTTCCATGCGCGCACTTTGGAGACACCCTCCTTCATTTTCTTCGGCGGTTATACACACTTTGCAAAGTCCACCTTCGTTTTGGGCGACAGTTCCACACTTTAGGGCCGCCCACCTTCAATATATGGGAGTTGATCGAAAACCCCGTGTAAGGAGTTTTATATAAAACAGCCTTTCAGATGTTGTTAGAACCATCCGCGAAAGATTCGCGATGAGGTTCGCGAAAGTATCTTTTTTTCCGCGAAAGATTTATCGAGGGTCATCGCTTTCATTGTTTTCCTTTCTACCGGACTGACAAAGAATAGAAACGCAAGGCAATCCTCCGGCAGAGCCAGTGGGCGGAAGTGTCCCCATATGTCACAGACTAACGAACTGAAGCCTCAACATTTCCGTGCCGAGCCCTGGCAGTGCGTAAAGGATTCTCCGATTCCTGTCCCCACTGTCACAGGCTAGCAATCTGGGTAGGCGCAGCCCTGACAGTGAGGCAACGACCTGCAGCTGCTCTGACGGGCTGCGCAGATGTTTGCAAATGTTACGGCTTCCCGGGGAAAGCGCCAGTGAAATTTCGCGAAAGATCCGCGAAAGTTTCGCGAATGTGCCGCTAAAGTCTAGGTTCCCAGCTTGAGGCCCCCCAACATTCCCCAAGCTGTATCACCCTGTGTTGGTAGCTGGCGCGAGGATTGGGTTGAGTTGCGCCTGACTCTATTTGGCACAATTGTCGAACAGATGCTGCAAGTGACCCTGAGTAGCTGTGGAAACGTTCAACCATCTACTGGGGTCATGCTGCAAGATGTCTCTACCTATTTTGTGATACTATGACATGTTCCGGCTCATGTTGGCTAGACATGGTTGTAGGACCGTGCTTCGCGATGAGGCCGCGAAAGATCCCCGAAAGATATCTTTTTTTCCGCGAGCAATGGCCATTCCAGGATGAAAGAATATTGATCAACCACCATATATACGCGCGCACGCATACACTGGCAACGTCCACCTTCAATTTTGGCGACAGTTGCGTATTTTTAATTGACAGCGTCCACCTTCCTTTTCAACGACAGTTACATCGCCCACCTTTGTTTTCCACGAGACGACAGTCACACACTTTTTGGCGACTGGAAACCTTCGGTTACACACTTTGGCGACTGCCGCCTTCGAAGGTGCATGTCTGGATTCGTGCGGACGTGAAGACGCAGATGTGAAGGTGTGCGTGTGTGTGTGTGTGTGTCTGGAGTTGTGTCTGGATATCTGCGGGTGTCAAGGTGTGCATGTCTGGATATGTGCAAAGTGCAGATGTGCGGTCTGGATTTGCGCAGCTGTGAAGGTGCGCGTATCTGGATCTGTGTGTTGTGATGTTGTAACGCTCAGGTTTTTGCTCCTGTTCCCTTCGCTCAGGCGCTCTCCAGAACAAAGATACCAAGATTCTTTCCATCTGTCAAGAATGCCAACTCGAATTGGCCTTTAACATTTGTCAGTCATTGCAGCTTGCAGGCCGCACGTTGTCGACCCTGAGTCAGTGTTGGCAGGACGGAGCCATAGCTTGAATTTACAATACGAACGCATTCACATTAGGATCTTCGAAGTGCATTTCGACTGCGCAGGCTCGCAGGATCTGGTGGGCGCAAGTGGGTGCTTCTCGGGACCGCGCTCTCGTTGTGGCCGTGCGCATTTTCGGACTTGGCGATCACTTTTTCGTGGCAGGCTCGTGTTTCGGTGGTCCATACTTTGCAAAGTCAACTTGTTGCAACGGGCCCAGGAGATCGGAGTGGTTTTATGTCGATGTACTGGTTTATTTGTGGCAGGCGCAGTACTTTGCGCGGCGGTGGTCTTCGGCACGTTGTAATTTCGCGGCAGGCAGCACTTTATGGACCTTAAGGTACAGCTTTCGTGGCGTGCGGACGTGTGGATTTCGTTGAGGCGCGCTACTGGGGAAATCTTGAAGTGGGAGGCGAGAGGCGCAGCAAATCTGCTCTAAGTCTAAGTGTTTTCAGACATGTGGCTCGTTCCCTGAAATCGGAGGAATGTGTTCTGGGAAGCGCAGATTTCGAGGCAGGTGCAGTCCTTGAAGTGCAGATTTCATAACAGGCGCAGCGCTTTGTGAACCTTGAGTTGCAGTCTTCGTGGCGCGCGCAGCATTTGTTGGACCTTAGAAGTGCAGATTTCGCGCCAGGCCTTGAAGTGGAAATTTTGTGGCAGGCGCAACGCTTTGTGGGCATTGAAGTGCAGATTTCGTGGCAAACATGTAGATGTTGAGCAGCAAATGTGGTCTTATGTGCGCTCAGGCATCTTCCTCCACCTCTATCTATAGACGGGCCTAGACGCCTAGACCTTCGACCGCACCTGGCTTGTGAATCTCCATCGCCACTATCACCATGACCGTCACCATGACCGTCGCCAGCATCGCCAGCGTTACTACCAGCGTCGCAGTGTCGCCAGCGTCACCACCGTCGCCAGCGTCACCACCGCCGGCCACCACCACCACCGCCGCCACTGTCACCACCGTCACCACCACCATCAAGGTCGGTCACCGCATCATCCCCACCGCCATGACCACCTGGCATCGCCACCGTCGCTGCCGCCGCCGCCGGCATCACCACCGTCACCGCCGCTGTCATCACCACCCTCATCACCACCGGCATCACCGCCGGCGTCACCGCCGTCATCACCGTCATCACTACCGTCGCCATCACCACCATCACCATCACCACCACAATCACACCATCTTCACCACCTCTATCACCACTCATCACCACCACCATCACCATCATCATCACCGTCACCACCAACACTACCATCACTATACCACCACCATCATCACCACCATCACCTTAATCTGGATTTTTTGAAGTGTCCTTGATTAGTTTCATGACACTGAGCCTGCCGATGGTGAATCCATGGACATTGGAGGGTGCCGTGGGATCACTACTCGTACTTAAAACCAACCCTTCATCCGCCCCTCCGCTGTTTGCTGTTCCTGTCACAACGCTGGCTTGACAGGAAAGCATATATATATATAACAATTACAATATTCTTTTGAACATGGATGGTTGATTCATGTACCAGTGCCTCATTTGATCTATGGCCCTGTATGACGAGCTCTAGGGTTGCTCAGTGAGAGACCTACAACATTGAGCGCAGCCAAGGCTCTGTAACTTTTTCATGCGAGGCCACTGCAAGAAGGCAAGGGATGGATGATCGCGAGTCCTGTTTAGATTATTCTTGGTGGCCTTTCGTTTGCCTTCAGAAGAATGCTTCACGTTGGCAAGGGCAACCGGTGCCGGCACGCCCATGGCGCAAAAGAGCTGCGCAGCTTCAAAGCTGAGGCCATGGTTGGAGTACTGTACGTTGTTCCTTGCTTCTCGCCTTGAGAAAAAACCCGAGACCATTGGTTTTAGGACATCCAATCGTTTCCACACAAATTTCTGCATGTTTCTGATATCACCGCATCCCTCTAGTGGAGAACTGCAGCTCTAGCACTCTGGCAGGGGGCAAGTTTTCAGGGAGCACCGATGCCTGGCTGAAAAGAACTTTTTGAAGCCGACAGCCGGAATTCAAATTGTGGAAGCCATGTACCTCTCAGCATCCTTCCAGCGCAGTCTTATTTGATGTAGTCGCAGTAGTTGCAGATAGTATCCAACAGCAGTAACAGCAATAGTGGTAGTAGTAGTAGTAGTAGTAGTAGAAGTAGAAGTAGAAGTAGAAGAAACATAAGTAGAAGTAGAATTAGAAGTACTGTACTATAGTAGCATCAACAGAACAACAGTCTTATGCGTGATCGCGGTCGTAGTTTAAGTAAAGAGTTAGGAACACGTAGTAGATGTGCGTCGCACAAGTGTTAATGGCAATGCTGGGCGTGCCATACCAGCAGCGCACGACGAGAGATATCAATCGCGGTGCTGGGCACCGGCTAACAAAGAATCATAAAACATCACCAACTCAGTGGCTGAACCATGATGAGGAAACCGCTTAGTCCAGGCCGCGTTCACCAGCGACAAGGACCGTAAATTAGGTTGTTTTACAAATTTTCAAGGAAATGCAAATTTGCAAATAGTTTCCTAAAGGATACTTGCTGCCAATGGTCGTCTCAAAAAAGAGAGCACACGCTGATTGCATGCAGAGGATCTGGAAAACAAATTGGCGAAACAACTACGTTTGGTGTGCTAGTTGGAGGCGCGAGACAAGTTGGTGCTCAGAAATTGTGGGTGTTATCTGCTGGGCAGGCGAACCCTTTGATTTTCCAGAGAGGCTCGCCTCTGAATCTTCTGTGAGCAATTCTTGCAATCAAAAAAAACAAAAGTGCTCTTTCAAGCGGCGCAGGCAAATCTTGGAGATCTTTGAGGATAACTTTCCTTCATCTCCGCAGGTGGTGGTGGTTTTAGTCACTTCAGCTCGGGCCGCAATGAATTCAATCTTACTTTTGCCAGACGCCTTGCCAGTGGCCAGCTGCCCATTGCCTAGACTCACGCAATTCTGAAAATTCTGATGTGCTTGGAGGAATGAAGATTGAATCTTGAAATCCGTTGCTGTCAAGGGATCTTGGAACCATACGGCCACAAAATCAATCTTTGAGGATCTCCTCAACTTCGATGGAGAGCTCCAAACTTGGGGGTCTGAGTGTCTGCAGCAAGTGCTGAGCTGGAGACAAACTGTCCAATTTGATTTGGGCTTATGCTCAGGTGCAGTCCTAGTGCTTTCGAGGTTCCCATGAAGGTTCCACTTCCCAGACGTCCTCACACAGGATCGTTTCCTCTCCACAATTCCGAGATAGCTTCGAGTCAGCCTGCAGCTTCGAGTCATCATTTTGCTTATATAGATTGGTGCATTGAGTGCTTTCTTTTGCAGGAATCGACGGATTCGATACTCCACCACGCTCACTGGTCCCAACGTGTCTCAGCATTGCATACATGTTGTTTTGTCAAACTCGCAGTAGTTCTTTTTGTGTTGCTGTCGCGTACAACGTTTGGGATCATCAAGATTCCTCAAGCCTTGTCACGCCTTGAAGGCCTTTGCAAGATTGTCATAGGTTTTCTAAGGTTTCTCGAGTGACAGTGTAATTCTTGTGACACGGTACCTAGGCCACCACTGGCATCTTGGCTCAACACTATGGGCCACACACAGCCAACTATAACGAATTGCTTCAAGTCTCAGATTTCCGAGCTTCTTTTCATTTGCTTCTGAAACGATCGTGATCCACCCAAACGCTGCAAATGTTTCAGGCCAACTACTCACCACTGGCGTCTTCGGGCGACTTGAAGCACGCTTTGCCCTGGACCGGGTGTAATTGCGACTCCTACCAGCAAGCCACTGACCTGCCCTTGTAAGAAGCCAATGCTGGAGTGGGGACTTTTAAGACTTCGAGACCATCACATTGCATTGACTCACCACGAAAAAAGTCTGGGCGATTGGCTCCTGTGCCCCGGCTGCTTGTCCTGCGGCAGGAATGAAGCCTCGCTGCATCAGCAGCAGATTGACTGTGATCCCGCAGGTTGATTTTCAGAGAGTTTTGCATGCAGCTGTGCTGTTTTGCAGCCATTACGAGACTCTTCAAAGTATGGGCACACAGCTTTGAACCTCGGACCTTCGGGTAATGCAGGGACGCAAGATTTCTTTAATCACTCGGGCTTCCTACGTTCCTGTTTGATCTGGACAGGTTTGGCGGCCTTGGCAGCCGTCGCTGCCTTGGAGCACACAGCAGAGCCTTGGACAATTTGGCATGCTCAGTTGATACTACCTCTGTACAAAACATGCAACACCTGTCAAATGGCTACTAGTAGCATCCTTGTTCCTAGTAGCGACGGCCTCCAACCTATATAATAGCGATGGCGATGGCCTCCAACCTAATAGCGATGGCCTCCTAGTAGCGTCCTTCCTACAAAAGTGTACATGTTTTCAGATGTTTTCAGTGTTTTAGGCGGCCAACATGGCCACGGTGCATGCCTGGACACTCGCGAGTGCGGCCATGAAGGCTTCTCATCACGTTTGAGTCCAGAAAACCATATTCCAACGCGTTTGTAGTGGCGGAGGCGAACTACACTCAGGATGTGCCAGGCTTGTGCCAGGCAGGAGATTTGAGCGCCGCTGAATAAGGAGAGGAGCGGTATTGCTGAGTCGGGCATGCCAGCCATAGATACAAGGAGCCAAAATATGTTCAAAAGCAAACAAAAAAGCAAAAGGTAAACGTACAGCAAATATTGCTGACGGGTAAAAGTTCTCATAAGTGCAGAAGTGGTAAGCAAAGCACATGCAAAAACAAAGCAAATTGCGCTGCTTTTGCATTTTCATTTGCGTCAGTTTTGCATTTTTGTGCTTTTTCACAAAACAATTATTTGATGGTTGGTCATGTATGGCTGCCATTGCTCAACACAACGGTATTGTGTGCACTGTGTGGACCTATGCCAAGATAAGCCATGATACCACATGAGCAACCACTTTTATTGGTTTTATTTAGGCTTTACTAAAGTAGTCTACGGCATGCTCTATTTGCTTGTCTATCATCAGTGTTCGCTTGTGAATGAGATAGGTCCCCCACATAAAAGATACTTTTGTTTGATGACACTCAAGTAGTCTGAACGAGATAGTGTGATTTGCTACTAGTCTGAACGAGATACTGTGACATGATCTCCTACTTAAGTAGTCTAAACGAGATAGGGCCCCCGCGTAGATAGTGTTTTGAGTTTAGTACCAAATAAATGCCGCTGCACACATGTAGATCATGTGCCTGATAGATTTAGAAGAGCTGTGCAAGCGACTGATACGCCCAGCACTTGCTTCGTGGTACAACTTTGTTTTACACAGAGCTCGACAGTCAAGATGGGACTCAGACTTTGTGACATTGTGGAACCGTGTGACACTGTTTGTCCAAGTTACCGCAAATTGTTGGATGTCCAAATTTGTACAAGTGCGAAAGCTTACGCAGGGTGTGCGTGAGACTTATCATTGCAAGGTGCCAGCTCTCAACTCAGACCAGGAGCTTGTCAGCAGGTTGTGCAGCTTGTGGGAGAGAGTGTTTCTTGCAACAAAACTTTTGAACAAATGGCTGCAACATTGCCTGTTGAGAGTGCTTAGCTCTTTGGAGGATTTGGTGACTTCCATGCCGATGCCTCGATTCGCTGACGAGCGCATGGTCAGGATAGCATGATATTTTTCCCAACTAGAGCTGAACAAGAAATCAATAGAAATCAGATTGCGAAAGACGCGAATATTGGTGTGTGTGTGTGTGGTGGGGGTGGCTACGTTGTGGGCATTTTGGGAAGGATGAACCCAGAGACTGCTGGGGGAGAGCGAAACATTTGCGTGCCCAAGATATACGACCACCTTGCTGATGCGAGTGATGCAACAAGTTTTGGGAGCGCTGTGGCCAACGTGTTTGTGGGTCGAGTCCAGGAAAGAGGCCAGAGCATCGTAGACAGCGGTGTTTTTGCAGGGTGAGGTGGTCGAAAGTGCGCGATGCTAGTTCTTTTTTTGGTGGCGCTTGGTGGAAAAGCAACCTAAAGTATGGGGTTGGGCGCAGAAGTTGACGACGCTGCGTAAGCGAAGCTGGCAATGATTTTTGGAGACTTGTAAAGCTGGGGGCAAAAAAGGGCACTGAAAAGCGGGCTGTGGCGATAAAGGACGTTGAGAAAGCAAAGCGCGGCAGATGTACCTTCGATGTTTAAAGTTAATGTTGCAAGCCGCTGTTTGATTTTATTGTCGATCACAGTCCTTTACCAAAAATACATGCAGAGAGCTGAAGAAAAATCTTTGAAGTTGGGGTGTGCGTGTGTTTGTTCTTCAGATCTCATGTGTTACCCTCCAGTGCCTCACAAGTGGAAGGGTTGTGAGGAGCGGGATTGGGCGCGCAAGTCGGTGGGTGCCCATTTGCGCTTTGTTTGGAGACCGTCTCGGGGCAAAAGAGGGCACCTCCGAAAGGCGGGTTCTGGCGATAGGACGTTGAACAAAGCAGGGCACGGCAGATGCACTTGGGAACATTTAGATGGATTTTGCGAACGAGGCGGGTATTGTGAGGCGGTCTGTACCGGAGTGTTGGAGACTCTCACATCGCTTGTTGGCCTTTCTTGAGTGGAGCGCGTTGCTCTCAAGGAGTGGCTGTAGCTCCTCACTTCTGTTACTGTCAATTAATTGTAAATTGGTGTTTGTTTGTCTTCGTTCGTTCTTTCTCTAATATAAGGTACCCTGTGTCACATATCTCTGCGTGCTTTACACGCCCAATTTTCCAAAACAGCGAAGCTTTAGGGGTCGTAACGTATATAGATTTCAGAGCAGATTGGAGCAAGCTCCGAACCAGGTTCCGGAGCAGATTCCGGAGCAGGGTCCGGAGCGGAGGTTTCGAAGGAGCTGGCTCGCAAGCGCCTCAACAGCAATCCGAGCGCACGATGGCCTCAAGATGACGATGACCATAGAAATGATTCCGATCCTGGAGATGAACCACCAACCTGGAAGAAACGTGCCGCGACATTACTGGTTCCGGACGGTGCACGGAGCAGGCCCCGAGTTCTGGAGCAGGTTCTGGAACAGGTTTACTGTAGGTTCTGGAGTAGGTTCCGGAGACTGAGACTACCTTGCCACAAGTTCCGGCGCGCCTTGCAGATGTATGACGGCGTATAGTGCGCGCACATCACGATGCAGGTTTTTGTCATGCTTGCATGTTGACAGGCCATCTGACTACCGCGCGGCTTTTGCTAACCTGCTATGATGCTATGATCTCTGACACGCTGTGGTGTTGCCACTCCGACAAGATGACGAGATGGTGCCATGTTGGTGTGTTGTGCATGTGGAATGCTGTCATGCAGACGGTGTGTGGACACGATGTCGCACATGATGGTCATTGTTACGCTGATATGCCCGCGTGGTGTTACACTGGCACGTTGTCAAGCTGTCGTGCTGACATGTTGTCATACTGGCACGGGTCACGCTAACGTGCTAACACGTCGTTGCGTTGAGATGCGAAAATTGGGGACTTTGAAAGCAGTAGTAATGTCACACGTCACTTGTTGATAAACTTGCCCACTTACGCAAACTTATCAACACGCCAAATGTTGCCGTGACTCAAGCACCAAACTCATGCCCACCTGTTGGGAATTTTTCGTGGGCTTATTTTGGAAAACACTGCGAGCCTTGTCAGGAGGTACACTTGAGGATTCCGTTGCGTAGCTTTTGAACTTCAAGCTGACGAAACATAGCGGACATAGCGCTTCTTGGTGAGAGCACCTGCTCGTCGAACGAGCCTTGAAGTGCTGGCAATACCTCCTAGTTTTGTTGCGCGGCCTAACCGTAGGTTTTTTGCAGTGAAAATTGTGGTTTGGGTGGGGTGAAGCACCTGAAACATGGAAAAATGCAGTGCGAATGAAAAACTGTTATCTGTCGTGTTGTTGTTTTTGTTTTTTTGCCGTGTTTTTGCGCCTCCACCTGGGCAGCAATACGCCAAATCGTTGGAAAACGGGTTTGGCATGGTTTGGCAGAGGTTTAACAAACCGAATCTGAAACCAGAATGGTTTGAAATGTTTGGTGCAAGGACACTGTCGAAAAATGTAGTTACAATGTAGAGTAACGTGTTTGCGCGCAATTTATTGTGTCCGTTTCCTCAAAGCCAGGCTGGCTTCAGTGCTAGGACCAGGTGATTCTGCGGACACCTGTTAGAACTAGTTGCACCACAAGTTGTTTATAATGCATGGCAGCCTGACGTCGATGGCAGTAACTCAAAAAGTATACGTGTGCTGCCATGCATAGTCTTTCCCTGGTTGGCTGGAGGTGACCTGGCACTTGACCTTTACGTACACCATACCATAGGTGTAATGACAATTTTCCAATACAGATCGATCTCCAACCAGGTAGAGCACCTCGACCTCTAGAGGCGTGTCAAGCTTGAGCTTTGCATCGCCAATACTTTTTGTGAAGAAACATGGAAAAAAAGGTGCAACAAAGTGAGCTTTGTTGCGGCTGAGCCCAGACAGGGGGTCGTGCTCAGCTGGCCCATCTGGCCCGAGCTGGGTATGTCTAAGGACTGTCAGCTGCGTTGCCGTTGACAGTTAACCAGTGGCTCAGCCACTTATTTTTCCGGTGGCCAAGGAAACTATTTTTGTCTCTTTGACTCAAAGCACATTTCAAACAGCCTGGAAACAAATGAAGTTCTAGTTCTTTCGTTCGTGCAGCTCTTTTCTCCATACTTGGCCACCATTTTAGAGATTCTCCTGGGACTTCGATGGAACTCCTTTGAGTGCTTTGGGTGCACTCACAGGACCACCGAAACGCGGCCTTTTACCTCCTTGGATCTTGAAGCTACAACTCCAAAGAATACAACCACAAGCAATCACAACAACCACAACTACAACAACTCAAACCATGTGCCACCCAACCACATGACTTGACAATCCAGAAGCTGCTCTTGAGATGTTCTAAGTTTGTTGCAGTCAGTATATATACATTGATATGCGCATTCCAAGGTGCCTCCCAGTGAGAAAACACTCCGATGACCGATTTTTTGCCTGGACAGTGCAGACTGTTTTGTTTTTTGCCTTCACCTCTTTGAGAGTCATTTGCAGAGGTGATTCTTAGGATTCCAAATAGCTTAGATTTGCAGCTTTGTCAGAGTCTTTTTCATTTCCACTTTGAACCAATTGATTTTTGACAAGCTGCAATGCCATAACATACTTAGTAGGTGAGCCTGTGGCTCTTGGTTCACCCTGTGTCAGAAGCTTGCAAAAAGACAGAGATTGGGGCAGGGCGAAGGCGGCGAAGGCGGCGAAGGCAGGGTTTTACGATGTTTGACACCAGATTTGGGTACCCCAAAGAGGGGACCGCTGAACTATCTCGGCTTAATGGCCGGAATGACTGGGAAAATAAGGCTTAATGGCAGTTCAAGATTCTGTACAAATTCTATACACATTCCAAATCGAAAACCACTCCATTCTCACCTCAAGGGATGGACCCAACAACTGTCCTGACTGTCCTGACTCCTTACTACTTAGTAGCTAGCAAATGCTAACAACAACAGATAACCAGAACAAACAGACCAACTACGTAGTCGATAACAGAGGAATGATGAATGGATGAACTGATGATTAGCACAATTTGTTGGAGCATGTTGCAGTGCTGAGGCTAGTGTGCGATCTACCAGGCTACAGGACAGCACGTGTTGTTTTGGCTGGAGAGTGGCTTGCCCCCATCTCAGCTGCATTGGGCACAAGATGGGTGTGGCCTGTAGCAAAACAGGTGTAGTGCCCCAAAAGTGTCGAGGTCACCGCACCGTCATAGGGCCACCTTCGCGAGCACTGCTTGAGGCAGGGATGGAGTGGTGCTGAACAGGGTTCACATGCTGCTGAAGGCATTGTTGTCCCAGGCTGCAAAAAAGATCATGACAAGTTGTACGTGGTGACGAAGCCAGCTGGATTATCTCTTGCACACATGCAATGCTTGGCACAACGTTAGACAATGTTAGACAGACTGGATCTCCCTGTGAGGTTTCATTTTGTTTTTCCAGGATCGCGTTGCTGGATGTTGCCGGTGCACCTCCATTGCTATCAATCGACAACATCGCTTCGGTGTCAGCTGTAAAAAGTGCCTCAGAAGTCAAACAGAAACAAGATACCCAAATGAAATCCCATGGACACATTTGCTTGGTATTAGCGTGCTTGCTTTGCATTCAACGGGTTTTAATTGTTTTAATTTCATACGGTAGTACTGCCTTGGACACTGATCTGTAAGTGAGGCTAAGGCAGGAATTCAGCGCTGCTTTCATCATGCTTGGAGTTCGATTCATTTAACTTATTACTATTAATTTTTGCCATCGCTAGTAGGTTGGAGGCCATTGCTTCTAGGTTGGAAGCTATTAGGTTGGAGGTTGTAGGCCCTCGGACCGAACAAAGACAAGGCATTTTGATTTATTTCTTTGCTTCTTGCTACTAGTAGTGCTGCCAGGAGCTACTAGTAACTTCTTGCTCCTAGTGGCGATGCCCTTTGTTACTCGTAACCTCTTCTTGCTTCTCAAGACGCTCATGACGTCTCAAGACGAAGTGTGAGCGCCATGATCAAACGGCACCTTCGTTGCACTTAAGTTTCAGTCGTAGTTTTGGAAGGTCGACGTTTCGTAGGCAGTCCTGTAGGAAGGCTTGATATATATATATATATATATATTTTTTTTTTTTCTTTTAAAGAAAGAGAAGAAAGTGATAGAAAATGAGTTGTCTAAAGAGTCCAGCCAAGCTTTGGAACTTCGAACATGGCTCAGGCTCGCTCCCTGCTACTTGGGGCCTCCAAAGGAGGTGGAGGGACCTCCACAAGGCTACGGGCGCATTTACCACAACAGGATGCTTGGATATGCTTGGCGGTTGCTTTTTAGGCATTCAGCTTGCGTGTGCAGGGTTTTCTGTAATCACTAGCTGTCTCACCTGTAGGCTCAAGGCTGTTTCAGGGTAGCCGGGGGGTTGGGATGAAAATGATGAAAACATTCCTAGCTTCTTTGCTACTCCTTGGTGATCCCCTTGTCCGTCTATCGCAATCTTGGGGGATTAGCGATTTGAGCTTCCCGAACCTGTTTGTCGAAAACGGAACATGCAGGGCGGGAGAAGCTTGCGACAAGAAGGGAGAAGAGGGTGACGTCCGTGGCGTGCCATCGCGCCCGGACGAAGAATCCCAACCAAGCGGATGGCCATTCTCGTTTGAATGGCTCATCAAATTGAGCCTGAGATTGATCTCAGACGCAGCGAGCACTAGCCTGCACTACTGTGGCACGTTGTGTGCCTCCATCGGGTTAGCTGCTCGATGGTCCTACTGGTTGGCCGTCGCAGCCGTGGCTCTGCTTCTTTTGCAACTCCTCGTTTGGACTTGCAATTGGGTGCTGGTCCCACTGTTTAGGCACGGGATTGCCTTTTGGAGGTATCTTCGAGGCCAGGGTCAGTGGCACGAACTGGCGCAAATACATGGAGTTCGCGTCTTCAGGCCAAAATGGTATGGACCCCAAGGCCGTGAGGATTGGTCAGCGGCCTTCGTGCAGCAGGAGGTCAGGGGTAGGGGTGAAGGCCGTGAACCCTGTATGACCTCTTAGTCACGCGATTGCCAGACTCCGCCATGGAACCCTTCGAGGTAGAACCAATCGATTTGGGTTCAAAGCTGAATGCGATTCGGTGCATGCTTCCTTGCACCGTTATTATCGCAATCAGTTGGAGGGCATGGATTGTCGAGTACACCTCTGCTCGCAGAGACCATGTGGCCAACCTGATGACGATTGTCTCCATGCTGTTGCCGCTGCCGTGGTTCCGAGACACATCGACTTTGACCTGCAGGATGCGGCGGGAAAGGGCCCACTTGCAAGATGTGCCACAGCCGCATGGTTATGTGGTTACTCCACCTGTGGGGTGTGTGGGAGCATCATCAAAGCGATGAAGCGGTGGATAGCTTGTGTCTGCTGCTCTGGGTGCCTGTGTCGTAGCCGCAGGAAGCCAAGGAACCGTGCTTCTCCAGGAAGCGGCGTGTCAACTCCAAGGCGTGACAACTCGGAGATTTGCCAAGCCGAGTCAGTGGCGTACCTGCTCAATGGACGAGCAACACCTTTATCCCTGGTACCTTGTCGAGATGCAGCGCGAGGAGAAAAAGTCAAGCTGCTGCCGAGTGACGCTGAGGTAAGTAGTGCGGAGGATCTCAAGCACGAAGATGGGAACTCCTACTTTGCCTGCTGTCACCAACACAGGGCCTTGTATGAAGGGCAAGCAGCGAAGAGGACATGTGTCTTTGAAGGCTGTGACCGAGAAGTGAAGGGTACCACCAGACCAGGGTTGCGCCTCTGTAAACTTCATGGAGCAAAGGAAGAGAGGGCGAAACCCACTGCCAAACTCAGAAACCCTAGTCTGGCTGTGAAGCCTCCAGTTGAGAACCCAACTTCTGCCAAGGCGCGATTCGTGCCCCGGGACGATGGCACCTTAGTGGTTGGTCCATCATCCGCTGCAGCCGGCTCTCAACCAAGTACCCAGGCCACATCTCTGCGAAGATACCTGCGAGAGGGAAAGGAGGAGGCTTCGGCCTTGCGCGCGTGCTCACTTCCAGGATGCGGCCCTCGTGAGACGTGGGAGGACTTGAAGAGTCAGGCAACGGCCTATGTCACAAGACTGCCCCGAGACTACCCCACCAAAGCGAGGAAGGCAATAGTCTACCTTGTGACTGAAGATTGTCCCATTAGTGAGTGAGCTTCAGAGGAGGTGAAGGATCCGGTGCTGGACTTGGGTTCCTATGCCACTTCTGATGGGACCGGAAGCCCCCAGGGCAGTTGAAGTGTTTCCACCTGCGAACAGACCTCGCCCAGAACATGATGGGCAAGTGATGCCGAGTGTGGCTAGCTTGTATCGACCCAAAGGATCTGCCACTCTACCCGAAGGTCTGGGGATGGGGACGGCTCCATCCAATCCAAACTCCTATGCATCCTTTGCTGCAGTTTCGAGACCTCGCCACATGGGTGCCTACACGGATGGGGAACGAGCGCGGTTAGATGAAACCGCAAAGGCTTTACAAGCTATAGCCAAAGCTGTCACCTCCAAGGATGAGGCAGCGAGCCACGACAAAGGGAAGCTGGCCTCGATCGGAAAAACCGAAGAGAGACTGGTGTTCCTCGCGAGGGGATGTGATGCCCTCACGGTGCCACTTGGAAAGGCCACGGTAGGCAAAGAACTTTTCCATTCTCTCCGTGCTACCTCAACACAAGGCAGGCCCCAGCTGAGGATCATGCAATTCCCGGTCAACATCAACAACAGGGTGGCTTATGGGTTGGCTTCCATGAGTTTAGGGGGAAAAGAATCCAAGAACTTGCCTGAGTACTGCCTCTCAGCTGCTGACTTTCCCCTCACCTCTGAAGAGGAGTTTGATGGCTGGTCTGGGTGTAGCGACCTCAAGCTTGAGAAGCGCCCCAAACACCCTATGACCCTGAATGCGTGGTACCGAAACGCTCTGAGGGAGGCATGGGCCGCCGTCTCCTGTGTCTATGGTTCAGAGCACTACTCAGCCTTTGAGCAAGCGGCCACCTTTCTCTTGAAGCTGGGGGAAGAGCATGCCTACATGTGGCCAGCTCATGCCATCTTCAGTGTCTGGGAGGCACTGTGGTCTCGGT